CTACCCCGTTTTTTATTTTCCCAACATTTTCCCAACACAACACGAGTTATCTCTCTGCTCGTTTTACCCGAGCGTCTCGATGGACTGGTCGACATTTTTCAGCTATTCGAGCCGGCTCCAACATTTTCATAAATGCCATTCCAAATCAAGGAGCCATGTGCAATGCATAATTCCTTCTACGAACGATTTGAACTAGAAGAGTGGAGTATTCGCAATGCATAATGTAATGAACGAGGTAAGCATACAACCGCGGACACATCAGTCGCCTCATTGTGTGACAGTTAGGTAAACGTTCTTGACAGATTGACACCAGGGCAGTAAACATGTACGCCAATTTGACCCACCTGTTAGTTGTGGCGAAATGAACAATTCGCTTGAGGCCATGTGATACATGAACTCCGATACTAAACACACATGGCGTTTTCCGGTTAAAAAGACCATGTCATGTCGCTTACTGGTTAATCCAGAGACGACAGTTTCCGTTGATCAACTCATTGAGAAGGTACACGCTTCCATGTGTTCACTGTTCGATTGCTTTCCGCAGTCACGGACTCGAAACGCGCAACCGTACTATTCGAATAGTACAACTGGGGTCTTCTCGCTACACTGTTGAGACAGTAAAACACGAAACGTAGACCACCGCTGTAGTTTCACTTCAGAAATCCTGTTCAACTTCACCGGTCATAAAATACCGGGTTGTGTTGGAATTTGTATTGACTGAAAACTAGCCAGCGAGTGCAGCAATTTACGCATCTGAGTCGTCAGCAAAATAAACCTGTTTCACGTCAGCATCGCTATCATCCAGCGCATCTGGTTCGGTTCGACATATCTACATACATCAACAACCACGAACTTGACCCTTTCAGAGGTCGTTTTGCAAAGTTTGCTGGTAGTGCACTTCTTTGATCAACCGGTTTCGCCCTTCTTGCCACTTCATACGACAGAAGGGCTTTGAAGGAGTGACCAACTGGCTGGATGAATCAGGTCGAAATAAATCGCGAGATGCTCTAATTAGCTGGCGTATGCTGCACTGTCAATCTTGGCCTCTGCGTTGCTTATCCTATCAAACAACGTGTATCAATGTGTGTTTCGCTATTCGGCTTTTAAACACCTGCAGTTGGAGTTGGAATCGAGTTGTCTAACCACACTGGACGCAGCTTTCGATCATGTTGTTAACCTCGCTTCGATTTTGAGAGTTGAATGAACAGCGGCAATTTTCTAGGTACCCAACGTAGTCACTTGATAGTTTTCTATGCACCATTTTATATCATGTCGTAGCTACCACCGATTTTCACCTCTTTGTACCTAGAACATTAGGTAGTTTGAGCGTTGTTGATAAAATCGATCAACTGTATTTTGTATTTTGCTGACATGTTGCGGTAAAAGAAATGAAACCTTGTGTGAACAGAATTGAGTTGCTATGCTGGATGCTGTAAGTCGACCGAAGGAGTCATGAACTACTTCGGCCGTTTTTTGGCGTTTTTGCTGACTGACCAGCTACCGACGAACGGTTCTTAATGGATTGGTTAGAATACCAGTTATCTACTCAGCTGCTTACAGTTGAACGCGCTTTAGCTAATCCACGGCTGCTTCTTGTGATATTGAAGCTAGATGATTCCAAGAAGGCTTACACTGGTTTATCCAGTTATCTTCTGCATTAATTTGATTTTTCTGCAGTTAAAGCTGCTTGCTGCTATCAGTTCAGAGCGGAAAATGGGTATCAGTAGTTTGCCGATACGCTAGGCCGACGCTTCGCTGCCACGCAACCATCACCAGTCTCCCGGTCCCCTACACAGCCTAGAGCTCGAGACCCCCGGGTGACAATCCAGACCGCTTATCCGTTCGGACACGGACCGGCCCAATTCAGAGACAGAGGGAAAACTCATTGAATTTTCGAGGCTGAAAAGTAAAGCTAATGGAAAGCCACTACACCTCGGTTAATAAATAGCGGATGCCATACTTGTGTACGATTCCATCGAGTCTTTCACATTTGTTCTTCGACCTTAGGGCCAATTTATCAGACGCTCGCCAGTCCTCTCTTTCCGCTGATGGTGAAGCTTCATAGGGTTCTGTCCACTTTTGGATATGCGCTCCGTCACCATTGAATTACTGTGTGAATATCCTTACTTAGATCGATACATGATGCATATTTTCAGTGTACTTGCTCTCTCCCAATGACTTGCTTCTCGACTTACACGGAGTAAGTAGCTTGAGGCCTTCGTTACCGATACGCGTGTATGAGTCTGCAGCGCCTTACGGAAACCTATCGATCGTCTTACATTCATCAGACTGAAACACGTATGGCGCCGTCGCAACGTAAGTCTCAAACCCAAGGGCAGGGTATGTCCGTGCGGTTCTCTTGTACAGCTGTAAGTCCTGGCCGACTTGTTCGGAAGACATAAAATGATTGTCAGTTTTAGATAATAGTTGTCTGCGTAGGATTGCTCTTGGCTGCTGGCAACATCACGTGAGTAACGCAGAAGTACGAGAGCGAGAGTTTGGAACAAACAGCCCATGTCTCCAAACTGTTTTTCTCCGACATCACATGCTTCGACTCTGCCACGTATTGCGAATACCAGCATATTGCCTTCCCCGTCGAGCGTTATTTGCGCTTCCCGGAAGCGATCAGCAAAAGTGCCGCGGAGGACATGAAAAAGGAGCATCAGGAATGCAACCTCAAGCTTAGCGTCCGTCGGATTGGTCCGCCTTCCAGGATGGGGACCACGCGATTCGGACTGCCAGTGGTTAGAAACGTTGGACGCTATGGCGTGCAAGTTATTTGTGGAGACAGTGCTGTTCCACCGCGTTATCCATCAGTTAACTTCTCATCGAACACAAAACTACAAAACACAGCATGAGTCTCAAAATGGCACGTATACAGCCGAAAAATATCGTCCTCATGTTGTATTTCGTTTCCCCACTTTATTTCACCAAAGTTCTGATGGCATATTATGTGTTATCAGATTGTGAATATATATATATATATATATATATATATATATATATATATATATATATATATATATATTAGTGCCCTATGCTGAAGCTGATGTTGCTTTCATGATGCTTCTTCACCGCAGTTGGGCTAAATCAACTTACACTTAAACTAGGTCTTTTTAAGATGGATAAATTTCATTCTACTTTACTTGGTTTGTTTTGCCTACCTGACTGATCTTCTGTTAACTGGCCACGTTGCTTACGCTAATTGTGGTAATCTTCGTTAACTTTATTGCGTTTGTAGCATTTTTGAGTACTTTCTGGACACTTTTACTTATCGCTGATTCGTTGCTAACCAACTTACTTCGTATGCTAAATTAGGGTAGAGTTATGTTTGCATAGCCGTGTTTTTTAACAGATATATTTTATTTGATAACGTCATTTGAAGTGATTGGCTGTTGTTTGACATCCCCGGTATGGCTGCGCTTGATGTGCATGTTGACAAGGTGCCTACCTGTATATTACCCACTACCTCGTTCATACTGGCTCCAGGAGACAGTTGGTCGTTGCTGGAGGGGACGGGGTGCATGGGCCTTGTGGTCGTGCTAGGCTCGAAGAGTGGCTCCATGCAGTCAGTGTGGAGCGGACCACGATCCAGCCACCGCCTTGTGTGCACTTGACTCCACAAATACAGCGTGCTTGTGTTTGCCTGTGAAGGAGTGTGGGCCGGCTCCGTTGATGAAACGTGGCTCCCATCCACATGCCTCCCGGTTTTATTCCTTCGGGTTTACACGGGAAATGGGTTGTGTGTTTGGAGCTGTGGGTGGTGCAGCGCAAGCCATCCATGGTCCCTCTGTAGGCGCAGGCGTCCTGTGGCTGGCCACAGTGACAGGCAAATCCGAAACCGGATGTTGCCAACCATATATATATATATATATATATATATATATATATATATATCGTAAAAGTCAAAAGAGTTGCAGTTAGTTTTAATTTAGCCTGTCATTGTCGAAGGGATATCAAGTAGTGTGTCAACCGTACGTCGTAACAGCACCTCGCTGGCTCGCGAACATCACCAGTCAAACGATTGACGATAGCTTACTAACACTGGCCACTTAGCGGAATTGGGATTTTGTGCGTCTGTCGCTTGCTGTGTGCTACGGAGAATCAAGTAAAAATGCCAGGATAATTGCAGAAAGACAACCGACGCTCACATTATATTTGCCCTTTGACTCAAGAGGGTACTTCATAATTGTTGCCACAAGTTGAGCAATGCTGCTTACATGCGCATTCACTGGAACGGCCTACTCCAAGTACCACGGCCAGTTATCCTTCAGGACAGGACGCCATGTCCATAGTCTTTCCGTAGCCTAGTGGTATCAAGCTAACTGACGGCGCGGGTTCGATACAGCGTAGAGGCAGGGCGACCGTTTGTATTATTCTTAGCCCAAATGTGACTGGTGATAGTTGCCCCGCAGCGAAGCCTCGATACTGCATACCGGCGTACTGTTGGTGTCTCTCGCTATCTATTGCTTCATCCGTAGAATGTTGACAACAAATGCCTCACTGCCCACACTCAAGTGTTTAACCTTTTGATCCCCCACACTGAGTTTTCACTAAGGGCACACCTAATGATTGGCAACAGTGGCGGTTGCAGATCGCTGTTTCCGGTTACTTCTGGTGTATCCGTACGGATATTCGGAATATTATTATGGGCCACCAGATTCAGTGGACCGTAAAGTTTCTATACCATTTCTCAATTCGTTCGATCGTTCTCCCGAATGTTTGCATCGGTCACTCTTGAAGCTGCATCGCCTGCGTCATGTGACGCGTTCTACGTGTGCACACCTATGAGCCATACTCATGGACTGTTTTCGCGACGTGAGATCACGTGATGTAGCTTCTAGCGTGGCCGCTGCAAACATTCGGGGGAACGATGCAACGAATTGAGAAAGGGTGTAGTAATGGTGGATTGCGCTCTTCGCAACTGCACCGTGGACTCTGTAAAGCTCCTTGGCACGTTCCTCCTACACTATCCATATACAATGCTATTTTAATTTCAGCCAACGTGTTGGTTAATGGCCCATCCACGGTGCTGGCCACTGGCATGAAGCCCTCATTCGAACTACCAACTATTCCATCCTTGCCAGCTGGTGAGTTGTTGCCTCTACACCGAAGAAATCACCATTGGCCGTTTTGTTCTATGTATTTACTATACGATTTCATTGGATGCTAGTCGAACAGTCTAGGCACTAAAGATAGGGAACAAGAAGTTCCATCTGTAGTTCCAAACCGGAAACCCAAAAAACGTGGTCGATGTTATGAGGTCGCCATTTCGGGCATTCTTATCAATCACAAATACGCAGTAATTATGGCTAAAAGGAAAAAGTATCATATACTATGACAAATGGCCAAGCGTGTGTGCTACTAGGTTAGGCGTAGAGCCACTGTCTGCTGTTTTTAAGTGCAAGGCGGTCGTGGATAACGATGGCTTCCAGTCACACACTTAGGCTCACTCATACAAAACCGGCATACACGTTATCGTCGTTGAACGGTCATCAACTCGCATTGGTTATCGATGCGTTAGCGTTCAATTGCACCGCTGTCCCCATTAAGGTCTTGTCTATGAAGACACCAAGTCACCTCACAATACAAGACCCCGTTACTGAAGCGCGCTCCATACGCGTGTTAGTTAAACACACCTGCGAGAACAAACGTTTACCGGCACAAATAGCCTTGGTAAGAATAAACACGAGTCACCTGTTCCTCGCTATTAGTGCGATGACATGTAAGCATTACGTTCTCAGCCATTACAGCGCACTTAACGATGTCCACTCTTAAACTGCTCGTATTTTGTGACCAAATCTTAATATACAGTGCAACCCACCACTTGTCACCCACAGTAAAGATAGAAGAGCTTTGACGCATCGCTTTACCTTCCTGCTATGTGAAACAACCTGAATGAAATATTAGATTAATGGCTCAAGTTACTCACTGATTTATTTACATGCCGAACGCGGTTTTGTCCCTCTTTTCGTATATTCGATAATGCTCAATTATTATCCCCCTCCGTGTTATTCCCAACCATAAGAGCAAATTCGAATTTGTCTATGTGACATGCGTTTTCGTGACAGAACTATGATGCAGTCCCCGGGTAAAACGTTAAAAGCTCAGTAGCTAATCCACTGCAGCAACAGTGCTGGTATACGCTGACCAAACAAAAACAGGCAGCTGTAGCCCTCAGCCTAAGTTGGGACATTACCCACGGCTAACAGTTGTAGTCCCTATCTTGTTCCCGCTAATAACACTTATAACTGATGCATCTAATTGAACCCGACATCATTTGCTTGTAAACCACGAGACGGGAGCCTTGAAAACGCCTTCATTTGGGCTGGGAATTACATCATTATTAGCTGTCAAAATGGCTTTTATTATTCAATTGTTATGGTTAGACCAATCATAACTAACCCAACCACAATGATCATCGATAAACCATTATCGGTCACTGGAGTGAACACTCCGTCATAGCCAGAGCAAACTTCGCATTTGGCATAGTGGGCTGACTCAGTACGGCTGCCCAACTTCAGGTCTATAGCCCAACTTGATTAAATATATGGATTCCGAAATGTTTCCCTTCTATTTGTACCGGGTTTCAACATCAATTCATCAGGAATAACCTAAAAGTAGGTCTCGTGATATCATAAAATACCAGAGGCTGGTAAAACGCTCTCGTTGGCGGAGTCCAACTCAGAAGCGCTCTTATTGGCTGATGTCTGGCCAATCTCGACCGCTCTGTGCTTCTACAGAGTAAACCACCATGGCCAGAGGCACGAAGTTCTTCCATGGGTGAACTCTTATTTTATCTCTAGGTGTTTTAACCCCAACCGTAATTTATGACACCCCGCATACTATCGAAAGACCAAACAGGCCTGGCCAACTCGACCTATACTCACCCTCACTCATGTGCATGAATAAGACTTGTTCAGTATAATGTGCACCGGTCCATTCTCCTAGATTTTGTGAACCGGCATAGAGTTGAGGACGGGGCTAGTTTATTGCACTTCACAGCCTAATCCCCTTAGCTACAGGGCATATTGAATAAGCGGAACACCAGACGACACATGAATAGGCTTAGCTTGTTGCTTACTTATACACAAAAGGGAGGAATCTTGTATTGCTTTAACGTTGTTTCCATGGGAAAGTCCAATGATACATCGGACACACGACCAGATGCCTGTCGAGGTGGATAGCGGAGCATTGTCCTACCTCTGTGAGGCATCGCACTGTCGGGATTGTGCAAATCTCAATTTTGGAACACCTTGTGAATGGCGAACATCGTGTTCAAACTAAGGGCTCTTTCAGAACACTTTCTATCGTATGGAAACAGGTCCCTAAGTGACTCACAGAGCATTTGCTGACAACTGCGGAAGCCATTGCGATCAGAAATTTGAAACCGAATCCATACAAACAGTAGGCACTGATGCGAACTTGGAGATTACCATTGTCACGGACCAGTCAGCTGACTTTAAGCTAATTGTCCAATGGTGATGTTCAAATTTGGTTGCTGACTACGGCATCCCACGGACTCGACACTACTTAATTGTGCTAAGCTGGAAATAGCTTGTTATTCCAGTACCAACTTGATTCAAAATTGTATGTGCCTGAGGAGGCATCTCGAAAAGATATTAATTCCCAACTAACTTTTGCTTAATAGGTTAATGAGCATAATTTATGAGTTAACATAGTCTTTGTTAACGATGCTTCGCTTACTTAGGACAAAGTTTGTCTTTGACTTTTCCCTGTGATTTATGCTGCTTGATGCATTCTCTTGATTTGCCAGACTCTGACAAAGTCCCTCCTCGTGGTTGGCGCGATGTGCTTCTGGAATGTGGCCCAACTGAGTTTGCAAAAGCGATTCGTCGTCATTCCAACATTCTTTTCATGGATACCACAATGCGTGACGCACATCAGTCGCTGTTGGCCACCCGCGTCCGGACATACGATTTGGAACGCATCGCACCATTCATATCGCACTCTTTTCCTCAACTTTTTTCCGTGGAAAATTGGGGCGGTGAGCGATTCACGTTTTCCGGTCACAGAACCATTTGGTTTTGGCCTCCTTACAAATGTCCACAGTATTTGTGCCTCATTGCGATTACTCCTGGATACTTTTCGTCTGCCCATTTGCTTTTACTCACTCTGTTGCTGTGATAATGGTGTTTCAGTGGTAATTTTTCGGAGAACGATGCACACGCTGAAGCTGCGATATCATACGTGATGACTTAAAAACAACCACAGTAAAGCTGCGGTTCGGTTTATCCTACCTGGTTCAAGTTCGTGATATTCAGTCAGCAACAACTTATTCCCTTTTGTACTCAATCTGCTCTATGCGTCAGTGACTCGCACCTTATGTTATGGTTGAGACTGTCATCCTCTTTACTGAACAACCGAAGAATTACAGTTGACTCCCCTAAGTTTTGGATGTGCTTAATCAACTCACCACGTTTCATGCACACCGTTTTTGCTGAAGGCCCTTTCCAATGTTCTAACTGCCTTAACATTTTGGTCTCTGCACCCTGATTGCTCTGCAATCACCAATGGAGCATAATGTCCTCTGGATTACGCTTTTCACTCCATATACCTGTGGAAATATATTTGGCGAATATTGCGGTGCATAAAATTTCAAATTTTCTAAGCAGTTTATTGGTCTGCAGCTAGGGTATGTAACTATCTGTGATCTCTTAACTATTTGGACCGATTGCGACTTAGGCTTTGAGAGTGGGAAGCACATATTAAGGGGGAAACCAAAACTGGATAAATGCAGCATCCTGAACAGATTGGTGTTCCATCTCGCCTTGTCACTGGAGACCTTACATTGTTACAGGGCTAAGTGCAGAACGTTGTTTATCAGATGGGAGAAAGTATGTGGGCAACTGTTGCTTGGCTCCGTCACCCCTTCCATGGGGCAGTGATATTACCGGGTACTGGTAGTACGCATCACTTTGGGCTTTCCCGCTCAGCCTTCGTCTATCAAACCCATACTGTGAATAAACTATATTTCCAGTGATAGAGAAAAGAAGAGGTCGTTCTAATTAGGGAAATCATCGGGTTAAGTACTGAAGCCAATACAATCAATAGCTATTGCTGCGGTTGGAAAAACACTCATCTCATTGTTAAGTCAGAGCCTGTGCTGCGCTCAGATGAGGTCAAGTTTTTGAACCAGTGCACATATGCTAGGGTTGTCAGATGCAACTCCTGCAAACTCTGTTTTCTCCCTTTATGTGAGTCATGAGTGTGGCGTTGTATAAACCATATACTTTTCACTCCTTCTCTTGCCACCTGGCTTTGCTTCACTTGCAGTGCTTTTAAATCTTAGACTACCACTCTTTCTCTTTTTCCTTCCAACCGCCATTTGCATGGCGCCTATTAACCCCCACAAGAATATATCTTGTTGCTTGGTTGAATGTGCTTATTGCGAAGTAGCAGCTACCGGGGTGTTGAATTCATCTTATCCAGTAGTACGCCATTTAATGATGCACTTAACACTACCCATCAGTTTAGGCTATTAGGCCTTAGGTTATACTTCACATCCGCTCTCCACACCCATCCTGGAGCTATACTCGGGTTGTTCCAACATAGTCAAGTTTTGACGAAATCCCAGACGTTTAGGGTTTAGGAACACTACCAGGCCAAATTTTAACTTTTGGCTCGATTCCTCAAAAATTACTGAATTTCATTACCTACTGCCGTGTTGTGGACAGAATACCCCCACGGCGCGCAACGAAGTTATCAACCTTAAGCTGCCAACTAACTTGACATTATAAGCGGTATGGATTACGAATTTGAATGATACAAGCAACAACTCGTCATATCTATCCGAGTTACGGGATATAGCTTAACATAGATCAGCTGAAATGCATACTGCTGGCGATCATCGGAGGGATGAAACGGTCGTACGTTTCTCTTTTGGATATGTGATGTCTGTCTGACTCGGTTCGGATGCTAGTTGGCAAGAGCCACTAGCAGTCATGGGTTCGACCCTCCGCAGAGGACCGAAGGATGCGCACCACTGATGAGCCCAATAGGGCGAAACGGCGTTCTGGTGCTTTTTCGGATAGCTGGTCGACATATCTGAATTGTCGGCTGATTGCGACGAACAAAAATACTATCTTTTTACCTGTTTTCTTTAACTCTGATCCTAGGTCGCTGTGTTGTAGCCCCATAGAGAGTTCACTCTGTGTGTACCTCAATTCCGAACGGTAAAACAGCTCCAGTCATTCCATACTAGTTGAACAACTATGCGGTGAATCGAGTTGCCATGGCTCATATCGCTAGGATACTAAGAATCAGTCCTATGTATCAGTGCAGACATCTTTCTTGACACATCAGTAGGAATTGGCGACTATGCTTTGCTAGTATGTAGCGATAAAGCAATACATCCCCATTGTGTGTATTAGATGAGCATTCATCCCATTGCACATATCCTGCAATTCTGACAATGTTTTCCCAGTTTAACTCCCTATACACGTTCGTCTCGGAAAACCCTATATTTATTCACAAAACGACAAGGTGGTTTTAATGAATACGTACCATTTCACGCGTACTCGGTGGATAATAACAAGTGTCTGCAACCCTAGACACTGCTATTGCTTTTTGGCTGTTTGTAGGTGCAACGTTTGACGTGGCCATGCGATTCCTGCACGAATGCCCCTGGGAACGTTTGCAATCGTTGCGCCAACTCATGCCAAACATTCCGTTTCAAATGCTTCTGCGTGGAGCCAATGCTGTTGGCTATAAAAATTATCCAGACAACGTTGTTTTTAGGTAAGCACAGTTTAGTATGGAGTTACGCCATTTTAATTTTGAACATATTACTGCCAATATTTCATTCTATTGATTATCTCTGATCTGACAAATTTATCACTAATAATAGGATTGTGAGGCTGTCAATCACCTCACTATTTCAAGCTACTGTGGGGGAGTTGTACAATGTTTCTGTCGTTTATCACTCTGTTTAATAGGATTCGATGCTTTTTTTCTCTAACTTCATCAAACTACTAGTCACTTTCATGTAGGTTCTGTGAGCTCGCCGTCCAAAGTGGAATCGACATCTTCCGAGTATTCGACTCTCTGAACTATATGCCGAACATCGTTGTTGGTATGGATGCAGCAGGCAAAGCTGGTGGTGTGGTCGAAGGAGCCTTCTGCTACACTGGGGACGTTTCAAAATCTCACGAAACCAAGTACACGTTAGATTACTATCTGGGGCTAACGGAGCAGATTGTGAAAGCTGGAACGCACATTCTGGGCATCAAGGACATGGCTGGTAAATACGTACAGCATACCATGTGTTATTCTTCTTCTCATATACATTTTAAAACATTTATGCGTTTGCATACCTCTCACTATTTAAATAGCATATTTTTTCCTTCCATTTTGCATTACCCATTGTGTTTTCGGATAGTAACGTTCTGTCTCGATTCGGTTCTGGATGTACTTTGAAGTAACCAATAGCTTAAACCATTTCGATAACAAAGTAGAGTAATGCTGATTAGTATCAATCAACCAAGAAAATAGTTGCTATTGTAACAATACATCTGGACTCAGTCAAACCGCCATCACACGCCCGGAAAAGCACTGTAAGGCTGTTTAGTCCCTTCAGGAATCGTCAGCTGTACGCCATAGCACACACAGTGACTAAGTCACGTCGGTCTTTACCGTCCCCCGTATTCCATTGGTCTTAGTCACAGACTAGTAGCAGGGGTCATATGGAAGGCACAATGCTGACGATTTCCGAAAGAGTAAAACGGACGTACAGTGCTTTTCCGGGCGTGTGCTTGCTGTCTAACTGAGGCTATATGTGATGCATATGTATGTGTACCATTTCATCCCCCATACCACCCACTTGCTACGTTATATGTTTCTAAAGAGATCCTGTTTTTAAGAGATATTACAACTGGTCTCTTATTTGTCTTTTCCCTACTGCGGGCAGTTGTCGAACGTTACTTATTTAATTATATCCCTTGGTTGCTAATCAGATTCTCAATTTTAAAGTAATATTCCGTTCATCTTTCGATTTTATTTCACAGTGCCATCAACTGTCGATTTCGGCATTATTTACCTTTCAATTACAAAAGTATCTTCCACCGTTAGATTAGGCACATTTCCGGTAGTAGCATTCATGGCTAACGTCCTTTTCTGTGCACCGATTAACGGATTGGATTTGTCATGCTTCTCATGACCATGTTACTGCTAACCTACAACATAACAGGGGTTGTTGACCGTTAGCTCATTTCACACAGGCTTTTGTATAATCTCACCGTTGTTATTATTCACGACTGATTTGGCAATGTGCACTAACGATACACGCAGATCAGTGGCCGAAAGTCTAAGGTGTCTGCTAATTAACTCAAAATTCACTGCTTCCAATCCGCGTGGGTGCGGATGACGTCGCCGTTTAGTCAGGCCACGCGTGACAGATTGTCTTGTGGCATCGGAGCTTCTCTACAGTGTGCCGACGTACTGATTATGCCTCTCTTACTAACGATACAGAAATGCATGGCTATTTACTGCCAATGTGCGAGGTATGTATGTCGAAGGCTATGGTATCAGGACCATCGACGCTCTAGGTCATTCGTGTACCACTAGTCCGATCGGCTGACACTTTGCTTAGCAAACCCAAATTTCAGTACTGCTTCTGCGGATCCTTAGGGTGTACAGACCTTGCAAGCAGTCACTGTTGAGCGTTCATCTTGACTCATTTAAACATTAGCCTAGTAATACAAGTGCGCAGTCAAAAAGCTGCTCTAGTTCATTCATCCTGAGCTTTGCACCGCCATTCTATCCAATATGATTAAATTCTTATACCTCATATTAGTTAAAACTGCAATTCAGTGTCTCCACGTATCTTCTTGTCTGCGATAGTCTTATTTTAAGTATAGCGTTGATAACCATGTCTCTGGATCAAGTGCGACAGTTGTATTGCTTTGGCTACTTTCTCCCACATGGTTTTCACACGATTCAGGTTGGTTCGACTTTCACGTATGATTCAAATGATTGCCGGCGTATCTCACGATGGTGCACATCGCTTCATCAGTTAGAACACATAACCATATTGTCCCTTTCCGGTTAATTTGAATCGTTCTCTGATGACGCCCACATCTACATCATTACTTCGCCGATATCTCAGCCTCCTAGCTTATTAGGATGCAACCGTGTCTGTGTCCTGTGGCTTATTTGATTCCCTTTCAAAGAATGCAGCATCTTTAAGCCATCGACGTTTTACTTTGTAGAATGCTTTAACGGTGTCGGATATTCACAATTAAGTGGTTCCTTCGCACTTGCCGATTTCCAGAAAAGAATTTTTTCATTGAACATTTAGGTTCATGACGAACTCCACAGGAGTTTTTGCCATTATTATGTGCATTCGGTCATCCTTAGTATAACACCACTTACCAACTCATTTTACTTTAAGGAAAAGGTTGGACCTTAACGATCCACTGCAGATATACACTTTTTCTTTGAGGTTCCTTTTCCATGCACGGTTATTTTGCTGAATCTGTGGTTAGCTATAATGAAAGTGTAATTTTGCTCCGGAACAGGTCTATTAAAGCCAAAAGCTGCCCGAATTCTTGTCAGCGCAATCCGAGATCGTTACCCCGATCTCCCAATTCACGTACATACTCATGATACGGCCGGAGCCGGGGTCGCTAGCATGCTCGTCGCTGCCGAAGCTGGTGCCGACATATTGGATGTTGCCGTCGACAGCATGTCGGGTCTAACAAGTCAGCCAAGTATGGGAGCTATCGCTGCTGTTCTAAAAGACACACCACTGTGAGTTTTGCTCAAATGATTGACGCGCATTGTTCCACCGTGAAGTAACTTGAAAGACGGGAAGAAAATTCTTAGTAGTATGCCGGTGCGCCGTACCGACGCTTCGCTGTTGCGACACCACTAGCAGTCGAGCGCCCATTAGGGATACTACGAGGTTAGCCGCACCTCTGTAGCTTCAAAACAGGTTACGTTTGGGGTACGAGGCTTCCGCCGTTGGCCGATCGTGCCAACTTAAGCTGTCTCATCAGGTTCAACTGGTCCAGTTTCGTTGACCTAGTGTATGAAACTGATTTTTCGGTACTAAACATGTGGAATCCTTCAAATGGTGCAATACGGAATTTCTCATTGTCTAGGTGGTTTGCTTGTCGCGTTGCATTTTAGTGAACCCATGCACATCATAGCATGATGTCTAGCTGGGTCAATTTATCCACTTACTCTCGTTTGAGTAACTGGTGGAACCACGGCATATCTGTCTAGATCTGGTAACTTCTGCTATATTCGAAGAACTGCGTGGGCGTATACATTCGAATAAAACGTGTTGTATCAGGAAGGCAACAGGAAAACTGGATGTGTATCCGTACTCAACCAGGGGGTACCAGATGTAACAGATAGAATAATCAATTTTGACCGTCCGGATTACACACAACCAATAAGAAGAGAGTTGCTGTGTTTCAGCCAGCCAATGAAAGTGCGTATTGACATGGTGATGAATCGGTCACAACAACACACCCTTTTGTAAGGTGCTGAAGACATCCATGCATATGGATCGTTGCGAAAGTTTTGCAAAAATGTGTTTCATGGACTTTGGTGGCTTTGATTTATTTTACGTCGGTACCTCTAATGGCCGTTACCCCATTTAAGTTCATGTATTGGATACTTAGTGAATTGTGTAGGTCATACAAACAGATTCAATTTTCTTTCGACACTTTTTTGTGGCACAATATCCAGCTGATAGTTCTCTGGAACGATATGCACCCGTTAACGGTGTCTCAGCCGATGCACTTGTGTCGCGTGTCCTTTTCTTTCTCATATGTTGCGGCACAAGAGCTGAGGTGTTTCCCACCTCATTCTCATCTGTATAATGATAATGATTTTCCATTTGTGACCGTGTTTTATTACATTCCAAATACCGAAAATCTGTCATGTGCACACGGTTCACGAGCTTTGGGCGACTTGATCTAGTTTACGTTCGTGAAACCCAGTAATAGTTTCTATGCAAACTGCAGAATCTACTTTAGTAATACACTCGTTTAAAGAACCAAGCATTATATACCATGTTACTGTTCTAGATTTTGATCGTGTGATCTAATCGTTACCATAGATTCAATCACTTTAGTCAGAGGATTTATCATTGGAGTCCCACATGCGGTCGTCCTTTCTCCGTTTTCCGATAGTCGTTCGGAGTCCTCGGGTTGTCCAGCCCTGATCCACGTATGAGTTTAGCTGAAATTGTAGGTGCTTTAATCAATAGCACGCATTACTGTCACAGTGGTAACACTTTTGTTTTATCCTAGTGCCATCCTTTTTTCGATATAGTTATTTTTCTTCCGCGTGCCATCTTAGCAACGACCCTCAGATATGGTCTGATATCCACATGGCGTAGAACACTTACTCGCCTCGCAGATTAACTAATGTGCTTAAAGAGTATCAGTGGTTATTTTATCCATCCGAATCTACTACCTACACCCATAATTCATGGGACTCTTAGGGCAACTGATCCTGTATGACCTTTTGAGGATGGTCGTCGGCTTACTTACATAATTCGTGGGCGTGTGTACGCCGTCATCTTGTCGATCAACCCATACGACATGTTGAACGGGGGTCATCGTATCACCCAACCGTGATTCTCTAGCTCCACTCCATCGCCTCTGCATCGAATAAAAAACAATTTGACGTTCATCAGACGTACATCAACCAGCAATGATGCTTGTAACGTGGCATATTTCAGTGCGTTGTACTTGAGCGCCTAAGTACGGCTTTTGTTGCATGGCATAGAAATCACATGAAGTACTATCCCGATTTTCATGTATTCACGTTCGAAACGATGCACCAGTAAGCATAACTATGTTGTAGACGACAAGTGGGCATAAATTGCGCTGTCAGCGCATTAGGTCACTTTGGAGTCATAGCTTACTGTAGTAGAAATGTTCCATATTTGCTGCAAACTTTGCGCATTCATAGCCGTTCACCTCGTGTTGCCTGGTGTTGACCGAACGCATAGTCACCCTAGATCGGATTACGCATGTCAGTACAATATTCTCGATTGATCCAAAGCTGCCACCGGGGCTGCGACGTTTCTCGAGTGTATGTTTGCATAACCTCGTACTTCCGGTTTCAACAAGGCACGTGACATGCAGGCTGTTTGCTCTTTACCTGGACTTGCAATCCGCGAAACTTCACTTGTTAAAGGCAGATCGAAGCGGATGAGCCGAACACGTGCTTGAAACAATCATACTATAATACTACAAGGTCTTCCGAAGTCACATATTCGCCTGCTTTACGTTATTCCTAGCCTTTCTGAAAAGTCATCAATTTACTTGCATTGACTGGACTAGCATCTATCTCTCTCTTCAAATTCCAATCGTACTCATCCTGAATGATTTCCTACCTACTTTTTACTTTCATTATTTTTTTTGCTGAACTGAACGGATGAAAGTCCTGACATGTTCAAGTCCGCTCTAATGCGCACCTACTCTACAGCCCAGCTACGACTTATTTACACTACACGAAGGATTCCGCTCCACAGCAGTCCGAGCAGCTCGCTAATCATTTCGGCCTCTAACATCGTCTACCAGCTCACTTGCAGCTGCAGTGACTCTTACATCGGCAAGACTGCTCGCCGGCTGGCTCAAAGGGTGACGGAAGACTTCCCATATTGGCCAAGACAGTTGATGTCTCACCAAGCCGGAGTGAACCAAAGAATGTACCGGAACCCTGGCTCGTCTATCACTAAACACTTAATGACGACACGTCACCAGGCGAACCCAATCGATTCATTCAAGGTGCTATTGCGCAACAAGAACGCGCGATTGTTGGCAATTGGCAAGACGCTACTGACAAGGTTGGATTGTCCCGCGCTCTATGCCCAGAAACAACTAAGGCAAACAAGTAGATTGCCTTGGACCTCATTACATCATTAACCTCCATTTTGTCTGTTCAGTTATGTTACTAATTTTGGACCGTATTTAATGAGTATTTTGTTCTGCCTGTATTGCGTCGCGATGGGCAAGAGCAATCGAAATGCTAACATATCGCAACCTGTGTCTTCGTACTGCGTTAATATAGGATTAACTTCGTTTGAACATTCGTCTTGGTTTTATCACTTCCTACCGACATTGGAAGCAACATTCGGTTATTTCCACAAAAATGAGCTTCATGTGAAAAATCTGATACCCAGCAGCCTATCACTTTTGCTCCCTGTTTCCTCTTTGTGGCATTTTAGTTGCTGGTGTCTCTTGTTACTTAACGAAGCTCTGTACTCAGACGGTTTATTCCTCTGTAATAATGCTTTCGGATTTCCCATTCCAAACTTGTTTATCCCTTAGGGATACAGAGTTGTCCTTGAAAGATATCTCAAAATATTCTTTCTACTGGGAACTAGCCCGTCGTCTCTACGCCCCATTCGAGTGTACAGCAACTATGAAATCTGGTAACGCTGACGTGTACGAGAATCAGATTCCCGGAGGACAGTATACTAATCTTCAATTTCAAGCCTTTTCACTTGGCTTAGGGGATCAATTTGAGGAAGTGAAGAGGAAATACGTGGAAGCAAACGAATTACTTGGTGACCTGATTAAGGTGAGTTGTTTGGTACTACTTCACTGCTCTCTGGATACCTTCCCCCATACTTCCGTGGTGTAAACAATATCGAACTTTTATGTAATGTCTTCAGTTAAATTCACAGCCTGTTAATTTCTAGATTTTCCTGATTAACCACTTTCCTCTGTCGAGTGCTGGTTATCTAATTTCGCATCCAAAACATGTTATCATCTATATTTTCCTCGCAAAGTATTCATCGCAGCCCCCTCGAGAAAGGGCTCCACTAAGGCTATTTTCAATTGTTGGTTAAATTTTTTCCCAATGTGTCCAAAAATTTTTCCGACTTTTCACTGATTTATCAAGGTTACACCGTCATCAAAAATGGTGGGTGATCTAGCTCAGTTTATGGCCCAAAACAAATTAACTGCGGAAGATGTTTTGGACCGAGCGGAGGAAATGGCATTTCCTGCATCCGTTTTTGAATTTTTCAAAGGAGAGTTTGGTCTTCCACATGGAGGATTTCCTGAACCACTGCGCACAAAGGTATGTAACTCTGAGTGATTTGTTTCATATCCTATCAAAACTATGTATTTACTTTGGCACATCTACTTCTAGTACTTTCATCTCTTGAAGGCCACCCCAAGGGCGCTTCCAGTGTCGTTCAGTGGATATGTAATTCACACCACATAGCAACTCTGCAAATGTAATTATAACAAACACTATCTAGTTTCTCCCTTATGCTTGTTAATCTCAAGTTAATTAGCGCAGATCTTCAGACCAAACAAAGGCTTCTGTACAGTCAGTTCTTCACATATTATCTTACCACTGTGGTTTCATATATTTCTTAAGGTAACTAAAGAAATAAATGATATATTCCTCGGCGATTCGAGGTGCATTCCAACTATGTGGTCTGATCAATGTGTACAACAGGATCGCAAAAAATAATCAATTTGTTCACGCTTTTTACAATGGATCCACAAGGGTATTAAAGTAATTGGCAGGAATAAGGTATTAAAGAAACTGAATAACCGGGAAAAATAACATATGCATATTTAAACAAATGTCTAGATAAAGTAATACGGCCACTCGTGGAACCGTCCCCAGGGAATCTGCTTCCATGCATGGTATTCTCTCAAAAGGTTTCGCCCGCACTTCCATGCTATACCTGGCTGTGTGCCGGTGTAGCATATGAGCCATCACCTGTTTATCGCATGTAGTGTTCTTTTTAGGGCTGCTTTTATACATGTATTATGAGCGATGAAGCCTTAGCTCAGTCCTTCATGCGGATCATTCATTTATAGACCTTTTTTATGCGCCAGTCATTTGGTGGCAATGTACCTTGCATAAGTGAAGTCTTTTATAATCTGGAAGCTATAATCCGTCAACACAGGAGATCAGCCCAGTCGTGGCGAACAATGAAATAAGGAAGAATATAGAAAAGGCGAATTATGTGAAAGAGCTACTATATGGTTAATGTAAAAAAGTAGGCAGATATGTTTTTTTTACCTCTGCGTAAAATTGGATCGAGCCGATCATACGATCAAATTGTGTGGCGTGCCAACCGGCGACAGATGACTGTACGAGTTTTCCATAGGCAAAAAGTCATGTTTGATATCTCACATCTCTTGGCTTTGTGATCGTGGTCTTCGAGATGGTCCGCATCAGCGCTTGGGGACTCAGCAGAACATGACAAGGTCGCGCAGACGGTGTCGCTCCTACATTCGATTTTCTACATCTGACTCAATATTTATTATGAATGATTTTACTGACTTTCCTAGTTTTCTTTATATTTTCTCTGCTTGCACCGTAGCAGCTGCATCCAACCTCACTTTGGTACTCGTAGCATGGCCGTTTCACTGAGCTGAATTTGTTGATGTTTGGTATTACGACCCAGTCGCTGGTCTGGGCAATGCCAGTTGCCTTGAGTTTTGGAGCCAGCTCGTCATTAGTTGCTCTCCTGAGCAACATAAGTGCAACGGACAGGTTGCATCAGCAATTTTCTCTCCTATGATTTAAGTACTCGGTTATTCAGCCTGCGGGACTTACAAATTCGGCCGTTTCTATTGTCATCAGAATAATATTCTACACTACTCACTGCGAATTTCTCGTGTTTTCAGAAAATATTGTCTAACTGGACTAGTTCCATATTCACCAATGTTGCTGGCTTAATCTATATTTGAGACTGTGTGTATAAACCGCCGCTGTTTGTGCACAGTCACGAGATCAGCAATAATTTCAGAATAATATTAAAGAAATCTTGGGGACAAAGCGAATGCATCATGCTGGCTGGCTGGCAAGTGAAACTCAAGTGCTGTCCCGTACAAAAGGCACAGATTCCACTGATCCTGTCCAGTTATATACGATCACTCCTCAAAGCCACTATTGGGCTTGCTTTCTACCAGCTACTGCTACTTACCTGCTATCAATCCCACACTGAAGCTGCCACCTCGAATGGTGACGAAACGTCTGCAACCAAGTTGCCCAGCTCGGAGAACTCCACAACAACTGAGCAAGCCTCCCGAGCTACCAATATTCCAAATCATTTCGAACTCCTCGGAGAAATTGATTATAGCGCAAACATTTAACAGCGAGGAGAATTAACGAATGCAGGTATATTAATGTTACAGAAAAGTTATTTGCATTCTGACGTGGATGATGAGATCTTTTCTCTCAATAGCTACTACTATATTAGATCCGACCGTCCAGGAAAGGCGCAGTATCATGGAGAAAGTATCATCGCTTCCAGTAGCGCAGATTGGTGTACATCGAGTTCATAACCCTCAGATTGTTCAACAATATCAATAAGCTGCGACCTAATGGAGTGCAAACCAAGCTTCGTGAGCGGTTTCCTAATGTGGTATGAAATATGTATGTAGCTCCTGACATAGTGCTGTTCGAGATGGTAACTTTTTCAGGTCACCATGTATTGGAGTTGCAGTCAAAATTGGAATGTCTCCTCTCTCTTTTCATCCGTGAATTCAATAGGAGTGACACAGCTTTCATTAACACAATGAGTTTAGCCAATTTGGCGAAATTTCCCATCCGACTCGATGCGCATCTGGATTTAATTTTTACTAACAAACCCATCATATTTTCCTCTTGGTAACTCCCACCATTACATAGTTAAGGTAAATCCCAAGTTATACTGTAAGGCCAACTATGTGGCGCTGACCAAGAGACGGTCCACAACTGTTAGGCGACGGAAGTATTCAACAGATTATCGATGAACTCAAATCAAGACTGTTCCAGTGATTTTTCATATTTGATGAATGAATACTTCTCAGTTTAAGGCGAACAACTCATGGACTATATCAACTTCCGTTTCAATATGTGTTGTCCCAATGTGACAATCCATTAATGAAATGACAGATTTTTATCTCTGTTGCTCATGGAACTGCGGGGGGAAAAAGGATAAACTTATAAACGTAAGTTACTTGCTTGTGTTAAACATCTATCCGTGGTTATAAAAGCTGAACTAATAAGATTAAACAATCCGTACAGTCAGACCGTTTTGGACAATCACAGTTGCCGTGATCTGTGGAGACTTGTAAAACAATTTTATGAAAAGCACTACCACAGAACACAACACTGAGCGTGTACACAAATTCAACCCTGAGTTCAGGTCTTCAACAACTAACACACTCCCCTACGTTCCCTCACCATCATACAGCTTTCCATTTTATTTGATCATACGTGTTTGCATGGAGCTTACAAGGCTGAAACCAAGCAACACCAGCACGGTATGAAAGAGTGTGCAGATGTTTTAAAGACGATTCTGACAGAGATCTTGAACCGTCGCTTAATGACTTGTTCCATCCCCGCCCTTTGTAAATCAGCCAGGATAACATAAGTGTCTAGAAAAGTATCTCTGAAGTATCGGTCAATTGCGTGTACGTCGGTGTTGTTAAAGGTACTTGAAAAACTGATGATTCTCTGCCTTTTCAAGTGCATGCACAGTGATTATATCAAACAATTTATCAAGAAACCAGGGTGTGCTATATTCGATGCCGTTTCTTACTTGGTACATTCCATTGCCTTCGCGTTGCATAACAGACGGCAAAGCGTACTGCTCCCATTTCTTAATTCTATCGGCGCTCGTGGAAGCCTCGACAGCCTATTATTGCTCATCATTTTTTCTGAAAATGGTGTCCTGCAATATGCATATATGGTTATGCGTACTTAACCCACAAATCGCACACAATTCGCGCAGCTATGCAGCAGGTAGTCTTCTGCACTACCAGCCAATTATGGTATTTTGCAGGCAGCCATGCTATCCTCATTTCCTTTCTCGGTATACGTCAAAAGTTTCTTTATTATGTCGAAATTAATAGGCCGTAAATATGCTGATGGCATCGTTCTGGGTTGCATAATCCCAACCATTGAGGACTGTTTGAGACTTCAACAAGGGTTGGACAACTTATTGACTTAGTCGAGATCCTGGTTCCTCTCTCCCAATCCTTCCAAGAGTTGTGACGTGACATTTTGTTCTCCACATCCCTACAGGCTGTGGTACATTGTGCATATCTTCCCTCCCTTGGTTGTGAATGATCAAAGCATACCTCGCCCACCTACCGTAAAATATCTAGGAATGTTTCTATCTCTCAATTTATTTGGGTCAACACATATTTCTGGAACGTACAAAAGTTAGAAGGCTCTTTTACACGCCCTTAGGCGCAAAACGCTTTCCATTCCCCGTGCTTTAATTCTATGGTTTGTAACTATATGTATTATTCCCCACCAATTATATGGTTTCCCTGTTATTTTCCAAAGGCTTCTTCAAAGAAATGGTCCTTCTTGTTCGTTCGCTAAAATTTCTTTCTCACTGCTCTGGTTTAAAGGAAGAATCGTCCACTGATTTCATTGTTAGCATATATTTTGGTGCATGCGTCTTCATCCAAGATTCTAAACTTCTCTCACCCTTTACATACTATCGTAGCCAGTACTATATCTAAGTATTCCGCACGGCTTAAGTTTAAATGTTGATATTCTCGTACGTCGTCGTATGCAAATTCCATCCTGCCTTATCTGTCACCAGAACGAAACACTCCTTATGTGACCTTATACGCTCGGTCGAAGGTGCGCCATTTTCGTTGTATTGCTGTCTCGTACTCTCTCCCCCATACTTTGTTACATTCTATCCGCATTGTTAGTGCCAAGTTCCGAAAATACGCCCATATGGTTGTATAATGCTTATTTTGACGTGACTTGACATTCATTGTTTCTCGCTTGCACTGCTTTAGATCACCTTAATACTTTTCGTGATGTGCAGTGTATCAAACGTTTTGCCGCCTAGGTGATTCCGCCAATTGAGGTCACTAGGCTATGGGTGTGTACAAGTGGCGGAATGAAGTACATTTTGCGTCTGTTCATTTGACAAACTAGTAATTAAACATGTTGCATATTCTCGGTTTGGACTTGGCACGGCTCTTACGATGTGTTCAGTTGTTTGAAAAGATATTCTGATGGAACAACCACGTATGATCGAAAAATGTACAAATATATCACGACTTTGCCAGGCCAATTATTCAGTCGATGTGGGTACC